TTGTCAGTATTGTGGTGCAAAGGAGTTTCTAAATGAAACTCTTATGTGTTTTATTTTAAACTCTTATGTGTTTTAAACTCTTATGTGTTTTATGAGTTTTTAAATGTAACTTTTATGTGCTTTCGTTTAGCACCACTTCACTCTATCACCTTTCTCTTTGTTCTATATCGCTCTCCCTTATCTCAAGACTGCACTCTTCTTGATGTTATTTCTGATAATATTGACCGAGCCCTCATTCTTTATCCATCAGCCAATATTGTTGTTATCAGTGACTTTAATGTTAATCAAACTGAATGGCTTGGCTCTAGTGTCAGTGACTCTGCAGGCATTAAGGCCCACAAATTTTTTCTTTCTCAATCCCTAACTCAAATAGTCAACTTTCCAACTCGCTTTCCAGACAACCCGAATCATTTACCTTCTCTACTCGACTTATGTCTTGTTTCTGATCCTAGTCAGTGTTCAGTTTCTTCACACTCACCCTTAGGTGCTTCTGATCATGGTTTGGTCTCTCTAAAACTATTATCTCATTCTTCTTTACCATCAGAATCCCTCTATCATCGTACATCTTACAATTACCTTAAAGCTGACTGGGACTCTTTCCGTGATTTTCTTCGTGATGGCCCCTGGGTAGAAATCTTTCGTCTCCCTGTTGACAAATGTGTTTCTTACATAACTTCATGGATTCAGGCTGGCATGGAATCCTTTATTCCCTCTCGACGATTCCAGGTCAAGCCTCACTCTTCTCCATGGTTTTCCTCACATTGTGCTGCTGCAATTGTCAATCGAAACCATTACTTCCATATCTATCAGCAAAACAATTCTCCAGAAAACAGACGTCTGTTTATTACTGCTAGGAACCATTGTAAAAAGGTTTTGTCTAATGCCAAAGCCCGCTATTCTCAGATCATGAAATCTCTTATTTCATCACAAAAATTAGGCTCTCGTGACTTCTGGAGAATCTTTAATAGTATCAATAATAAGGGCAAGTCTGTAATTCCACCTCTTTTGTATGGTTCAGACTTTTTCACCTCACCTAAAGACAAAGCTGAATTGTTTGCCAAGAACTTTTCATCAATATCATCTCTTGATGCCACTAGTTGTGTTCTACCTGATATAGCTGTCAAACAGGTTGATCCATTGCTCGACATTCGTATTACTCCAGCTTCTGGGAAATCTAAAGTGATTTCCCGCTTAGACTCTTCTACAGCTTGCGGCCCGGACAACATACCTGTAATAGTCTTGCAGAAGTGTTCTCCGGAGCTGTCGTCTATCCTTTCAAAACTATTTAACAAGTGCATATCAGAGTCTTGTTTTCCAGCCTGCTGGAAAGCAGCATCTGTTATCCCTATTTTTAAAAATTCTGGAGAGCGATTCGATTCGTCTAATTACCATCCCATTAGTCTTCTTCCTATCATAAGCAAGGTTTTTGAATCTTTAATTAACAAACACTTAATCTCAAATCTCGAATCTCATAACCTTCTTTCTGATCATATGGATTTCAATCTTCTCGTTCTACAGCTGATTTGCTATCAGTAATAACCGATAGGTTTTATCGCGCATTAGATAAAGGTAGAGAGGTTAAGGCCATTGCTCTTGACATTTCTAAAGCGTTTGATAAAGTTTGGCATGCTGGTCTTCTCCATAAGCTTTCTTCTTACAGTATATCTGGAAACATCTTTAAGATTATTGAATCATTCCTTTCCAATTGTAGTATAAAAGTTGTCCTTGATAGACAGCACTCTTCTTCTTATTCTGTAACCTCAGGGGTTCCCCAAGGTTCAATCCTTGGCCCTATGCTTTTTTTAATTTACATTAACGATCTTCCAGATATTCTCACATCTAAGGTAGCATTGTTCGCTGATGATACTACCATTTATTCTTGTCACGATAGGAAGCCAACTCCTTCTGATTGCTTGCAGGGGGCATCTGAGCTTAAAAAGGATCTCACTTCTGCTGCAGCATGGGGTTCACAGTGGCTGGTGAACTTTAATTCAGATAAAACTCAATTTTTTTCGGCCAATCGTTATCGCAATAATTTAGACCTTCCTATAATTATGAACGGTAATGTACTCGATGAGTCTCCTACCCTTCATCTTCTGGATTAACTCTTACTTCTGATCTCTCTTGGAAACCTTATATCAAATCCGTTGCAAAATTTGCATCTGCTAAAGTTGCTTCTCTTTATCGAGCTTGTCACTTTCTTACTCTGGATTCTATTCTCTATCTCTATAAATCTCAAATCCGGCCTTGTATGGAATACTGTTGCCATATCTGGGGCGGATCTTCTAATGATGCCCTTTCTCTTTTAGACAAGGTGCAAAAACGCATTGTAAACATAGTTGGACCTGCTCTTGCAGCCAACCTTCAACCTCTATCACATCGTCGTAATGTTGCTTCTCTTTCTCTTTTCTACAAATACTATAATGGGCACTGCTTGAAAGAGCTAGCGTCTCTTGTGCCATCTACTAAAATTCATTCTCGTGTTACTCGTCATTCAATTAAGTCTCATCTATTTTCTGTTACTGTTCCTAAGTGCTCCAAAAACTCTTATTCGTCTAGTTTTTTTCCTCGAACATCAGTTCTTTGGAATTCGCTTCCTTCATCTTGCTTTCCTGATGCATATAATTTGCAATCTTTTAAGTTGTCTGTCAATCGTTATCTTGCTCTACAATCTTCATCTTTTCTCTTTCAGTAACTTCCAACACTAATTAGTGGTTGCTTGCAGCCTTGTTAGGAGTGAAGATAATTTTAAAAAAAAAAAACTCATTTTTTGTGCTGTAATTCAGGAAAAGTTTTATTAGCTCCTCTTCTTGCATATCCACTATTGTTGACTGATTTAATGACAGGAAACCATGTTGATCATGCTGTCAATCAAATGTTTTTTGAACACATAAGGAGTTATAATTCCTCTTTATTTTTTGCTTCCTTAACAGCCAAAATAGCTCCTCCCTCAAATAATGGCCCTTTCTGTTTTAGAATCTGTGGGCAAATTTTGCATCAAGTTGGAAATTTAAGAAGAAGGTGTTTTGCCCACATATTGTCAGTTATATATTTATGATCCTAATGCGGCAGTGTCATTCAGAATGAGCAGCCTGATAATGAAGGTTGAATACATGAGTTAATGCAACTCTTACAAACCTGAGGATGGTAATATATGTTATTTATTATATGTTAATGTTAATATGTGTTCTATACAGTCATAGATTTATATTTTGTAAATGTTTATGTATGTGTTTTTATGAGTGTACTGTTAGTAGTTAAAATATGTACAATAAACTCAGAATAACTCGATAACCATCAATAATATGAACTAATTTTGAAATTCCAGTTGTGCTTTTATTTATAAATTATACTCCCAATAACTCTAATATTCTCTAAAAAGCTAATTTTTTGGTCCCATGGAGGTGTGAGTTATTTAGAGTTTAATGTAATATCTTATGCTATTTATTAACTGTTGTGATGTCTTGTGCTAATAGACTTAGCTCACCTTCACTTTGGTGTCTTTTGTTAAAAATGAGAAAAATGAAAAGTAAGTTTCTTATTCTTATCTACTTATTCATATTTTTGAGTTTTCCAATAAATAAATTGAGTAAATAACACAATAATTTGTAAATAATGTGTAATAAGTGTTTTAAGTAATAATTTTGTTCTATTTTTAGATCGAGTTCCTTCTCTTATGGCTGATTTCCTTCTCTTATGGCTGATTTTTGAAAATTTTCCTACATAGAATACATGTTTTTTTTTTAATAAGCATAACATTTATAAGCATATGGAGGCTCAGATTTGGAAAAAAAATAAGCATATGTAAGCATATTCCTGAGCCTTGATAAACCATTTAAAAAATTCAAATTTTATTTATTTTATTATTTCATTTATTTCAAATTTTATCTATTTTATTATTTCATTGATAACATTTGTATATAGTATATATTTTTTATTATACTGTACTAAAGTCGACTTTTTATTTTTCTTATAACCATTAACCTTTAGTAACGCACGCATTTTTAGAAAGTAAAGGAAATGCTCTTGATGATCGTTGACCATTTTCTAAAAGCTTAAACAAAGTTTTATTAATCTTTATAGCATTTACTAAAAGCTAAAACAAAGTTTCATTAATCTTCATAGCATTTACTAAAATCTAAAACAAAGTTTCGTTAATCTTCATAGCATTTACTAAAATCTAACACAAAGTTTCATTAATCTTCATAGCATTTACTAAAATCTATTGAATCTAAACAATGTTATTATTTAAGTTGCTTTTATAAGTACTTTTGATATTTTTTTATGTCAAATAAATTTTTTTGTAATTTTATTTTTACCAAAAGTATTTTTTACTTTGTATCAGAAAAGGATTTTTGTTTCTCACATAAATTTTTATATTTTTTCTCTTTGAAATTTTAGTATGAATTAGGGTTGCTAGCTTTTACGAATGAGAACACAGTAAAAAAATTTATTTTTACAATTTTGGCGCTGTATTCTCTGTAAAAGCCGGACAACTGGCAACTCTAGATGAAAGGTTATTTTCAACTATTGTCTTCAGCTGATTTTCATCAACTATTGATGGTTTATCCTGACCAATTTTGGCACACCTCTAATTTTTGTCCAAACAAATTCTGTCATAAACAATTGCATTTTGTAAACAAAAAAAGTCAATCTGAAACTCAAACTAGAGAAAAAAAGAAATATGAAACTCAAACTAGGAAAAAAAGTGTTTTATATTTATAAAAAAATTATACCCTTGCGAGAGTCATAAATTGCTTCTGTAAACAAGGGGAGTGTGGGCAACATAGAAGCAAGAACTAAGTATATACTACTTATAGATGCCTCCATTTTTAATCATAATTAAGAATGAAGGTATTTATAAAGAGTATTTATTCTTTAAAAATGCAAAGGGTTGGTAATAACTTTTAATAAAAAAATAAAAACTTTAATTAAAAAATTAAATTAAAAATTTTAATGGGTGGCTATAACTATGAACTGTACAACTTCATAAAAATTACCTCAGAAGCGAATGTCCCTAATGGACAAGGAGTACACTTTGTTGAGCCTTTTCTACTAAATGTTCCATTAGGACATTTTTCACAAGTTGATTGATCCATAGAAACAACTGTACCAGCTGGGCATTCAGTACATTGCTTAGCCGAACCATATTTAACACCAAGTAAATCAACATAATAAATACGAGCTTCAAAGCTTATTAAGGAGAATTTACCTTCATCTTCGTGATGGAAAAAAAACCTTAAAATTTTTTAATAAGTTTATTTCATATTAATAACTAATCAAATATATTCTGATAAAGTTTTTACAACATTATTTACAAATAAAAAAAATTAATAGTCATAAAATACAATTATAAACTTTTTATAAAAAATTGTTAATAAAAATAAAAGCAATAACAACAACAGCAACAACAAAAACAACAACAACAACAACAACAACAACAACAACGTCTTTACATCAAAAACTTTTGAATAAAAATGCAAACTTTCATGATCAAAAATCAAAAGTCATGACCAAAATACTGTAAACTTGGGTCTGTGTGAAATGTAACCTGATGAAAGTACTGTCCCATTAAGTTCCAATCAAAAACAAAATTAATTTTATTTAAGGTTGTTATTTTTTTTATTTATTTATTTGAATTTTTTGCATTTTTAAAATTTCATAAAACATTTTTTTTTTAATATTTTGTTTTGTTTTTATTCATATTTTATTTTTATGATTTTTTTATAATAATTTTAATATTTTTATTTAGTATATGATTGAAAGATGATAACTTAAATTGTTTAATTATAACTAATAAAACTATTTTTAATAAACCTATTTTTAATAAAACTATTTTTAATAAAGTTATTAAAAATAATTTTATGAATAAGTAAGCGTTGATGTTGTTGTTAGCAAGTAAGTGTTGATGTTTTTGTTGGCAAGTAAGCACTGATGTTGTTATTGGCAAATGGTAGAAAACTCTTATTATAATAACACAGAGTTCAAATTTAAATTCTATTGCTTGTAAATAGAGCTCTCTAACTATGCACAAACATTAAAAAATAAATTTTCCTTATTTTTATTTTTTTTAAATTATTAGTCTTTCTGTTAAAATATTAAAATAGGTTTAAAGTTCAAACTAAAAACGTTTACTTGGGACCGAGAGATAATAGTATGCTTCATAGACTTTACTTATATACACCCTATATATAAAATTATATGCAACCTAGATATACAATTGATTTTCTTGGGTGCATATTAGCATGCTTTTTTGATTTTATCCATTCTTGATAACTTTATTAGAAATGACTTAGAACAACATAAACACTTACTAACCAACAAGAACATCAACACTTACTTGCCAAGAACAACATCAACACCTACTTGCCAAGAACAACATCAACACTTACTTGCCAAAAACAACATCAACACTTACTTACACAGTTTTCTATCACTTACCAATAACATCAATTTGCATAATTGATTTAGTATAAATAAAAAACACTTACCTGAATGAATAATTTCCAGGGAAAGTTAAATTATGTTGATGAGTAAAAATTGTACCATTTCTCAAATGACTGCTATATTTATCAACACAATCTCCATCAAAATACGGCTGCCCATCTTTTAAAACATAATACTTTAGGTAACAATGACTGAGCTTTGCTAATTTAGAATCATTTGAATTTAAACGACAGTCTACTGAGCAGCTAAAGGTCAAAACAGGATTAAAATAATCAATTTCAACACCAATGACTTCTAATATAGTTTCAAATGATCCAGGTAAACGACGTGTTGCAATGTAATTCCCACGTGGTTCCCAGATTAGTTCTTCATCCTATAAAAACCTCATATTAATTATTCATTTAAAAACTAAAATAGTTTCTATCCTTAACCCATCTAGTAAGTTATATTAATATCTCTCTAAACATTAGATTTGCTGTAAATTATAACTAATTAAACATTTCCTAAATATTATTTAATTTATTTGTTTTTATTGAAACTTTTAAGATATATTGCAGTAATTAGTTATCTAAAAGAATTTCATAGGGTCGTCCACAAATCGCCATGCATTAGGAAGGAGAGGGTTTTGTGATTTTGTGTTGTTTTTTTACCAGGGGAGGGAAAAACTGGGTTATTTATTTTTGTGTGTATGTTTTAATGACTATTGTAATTTTTAGGAATTATCAAGAGAGTAAGAATAACATTTTAGCAAAAAAAAAAATGTCTATATTAATTGTAACAAAAAATATTTTTATCTAAAATAGAAAAATAACCAAGTCTTCAGCAATAAAATTCAAAAACCGATAACTAAACAACAAATAAATTCGTAACTTTTATATGTTTAAAATACACTTATTTATTTCCTAATCTGTATATTTTTGTTTCCTTATGTTGTTTATACTTCTCTAAATGTTACTGTTAGTATTTTTTCGCATAATAAAAAAAAGTTAAAGTATTGTTAAAATACTGTTCTTGGTTTAGATAAATCAGACAGTATTTTCCAGCATAATTAAAAAAATGTGAAACATACTTTTTAATTTTGTTAACTTTTTACTTTTACTTTTGTAAATACAAAATTAACAAATAATCAATAAAGTCCTGTTGGTTAATGTAATAATAATTCATTACTTTAAAAACTTATAAAAATAATAAATATGCAATAAATTAATTTAATGCAATATTACATTAATACAATATATAGACTTAATACAATATTGCATTTTTATTGCTGTTTAATTTACTTTCTTAAATATTTAATTTACACAAAAGAACCTAAAAATAAAGTAGCACAAAAATGTTGCACATTTTTATTTAACACACAATACTTTAAATTTTTATTTTAAACTATAAATGTTTACTTAATGACTAAAATGACAATACTAAAGAGAAAAAAAACAAATTATTATTAATTTGGTCAGAAAATTTGGTCAGAAAATTTTGTATTGCTTTTTTAAATCATTAAAATAAATTCCTGAAAGAAAAAAATTTACACAAATACTTTAAAAAAAAATTTTTATGGATATAAAAAAAACAAAATTAACAGTAAAGGAATTTAAGATACATTCAAGACAATTAAAACATAGTTTTAATTTACCTTACAAAACTCTCCACTGCAAGACTGCTTGAAAACATTAGGTAACGGGCCTTCTGGAAAATGATCCATGTATAAACCACGTAATGCAGCATATCCAGATTTACAAGGCATGCACTCAGTTTGTATACCATCAGAGTATAACCCAAGTTTGCAAATAGTACATTTGGGAATAGGTCCAGAAACATCTAAGAAATATCCAGGTTGGCAATAGCACATTATTTGTGGATTATCAGGTCGCTTGTATTGATCAGAAGCATTTGTTAATACATTACATAAAGTGTCTGAGACATCTAAAAAAAAGCTAAAACTAACAAAAGAAAGTTTGAAAATCACTGACAAAAAATTACTAAAATGATTTGAACACACTTGGCCACTTTGGAACGTATATAGATTGATTTCTTAACCATGAACCACTGCTGTTTTTTTTACATTTTGCAACGCTGTCAGGCAAAAGATAAAAATCTTTCTGAGTGCAATCAGGAAGCTTAAAACAACTGATTGCTCCAATACCAGAAAATTCACCTTTAGGACAAGGAATACATTGTGATTGACCTATTTTATCTTGATAGTAATTTTGGTTGCATTTCAGACATTCTGTTGCTCCATCAAGGGAAGAATATGATCCAGCAGGACATTCTGAGCACTTACTTTCTGTTGAAAATGAACCAACCTTCAGTAACAAAACAAAAAATATTAAACCAAAACACGATATAGGTTGAAGGTAAAAAGAACAACTTAAAACAATAATTTAAACTAGCTGTATGGACTCATAAAATACAGGTCTTGGTAAATCTATTCCACACAAACCATTTCTATACTTATTCCTTACTTCAATATTTTTAAGTGTTTTTTAGGGGGGGGTGGATGCACAAGTAGTAAGCCCACCTCTTCCCCAATTAAAACCGGTGCTGCTACTATGATTGCTACTATATATCGTAGATGAGTATTTGACTATGAAAATCCCAGAAATTTTTTTCTATGAAAATCCCAGAAAATCCCAGAAAATTAATTTATTAAAAATCGATTGTATTAACTAACAAAAAAAACTTTCGTAAACTTTTAAGACGGAATTTAGATTATTTAACTTTTAACAAGAAGGAATTTCTGATATTCGAAAAAGTTAATTTCAATATATTAGAATGAAAAATTTTAATTAGAAAAAGCAAAAAGAAAAAGAAAAAACAAAAATTGATCTAGTAAAAATTGTTACAAAAATTGATCTCGTAAAAATTTTAATTATAGAAAACATATTTGTTTAAATGCAAAAGTTGTCGTATTTAAAATTTTATTTAAAAATATATATATTTTTTTTCAAATTAATAACAAAAAACATCCGCAAATTTCTTGAAAATTAAAAAAGTTCTTAGAGAATTTTCGGGAATATATATCTATATATATGAATTGAGTAAATTTCCGGCGAATATATATATATATATATATATATATATATATATATATATATATATATATATATATATATATATATATATCAGGCTTGGACAAGAATGGCATGTGATTGCACTATGTAACTGATCACGCTAATAATGTTTTGTCTTTAAAATTTGACCACAGCTGTTGTTTTAACAATTTAAATGCAATAAAAAAATCATTACATTAGGAATAACGTTGTTCTTTTCTAACGTTTTTATTTTACACCAAGGCTTTATGTAAAATAAAAAATTATTTATAATGACTTTTTAAAATTAATGCATTTTGTGTAAATTAAAAATGTAATTTTTTTTAGTAGGCATGTATTTTTTATGATAAATTTAAACATTAAAACTATTTCTCAATGTCTTTCTAAAAATCTTTCACAAGATTATTTTTTTAAATACATTAACTTATGAATAAGTTTAATTTAAGTCATTGGAATGGAATGATTTAATTGCTTTATTTTTTTTTTTGTTTCTATTCTTAGAAAGAATTGTTTAAAAGCTTTTTTTTTTAAATTTGACTTACTAATGAAATGATTAAAAATAAATATTTTAAAAAGACTATGTTTATTAGGGTGTGTCGATTTTCAATTTTTTTGAAAATTTGATGATGGCTAGTATTTTTTTTTTGTAAATCAGTATGAAAAACATAAAAATAATTTTTTTTTGAAAAAAAAAATATTTTAAGCTACTTTTTTTCACCTTCAAACTATTATTTTTTTGGACTTTTTACGATTACGGCAAACTTCAGTTTTTTATTCTAAAAACTGAAGTTTGCCGTAATCTCCGAAGAAGATCGCACTCATTTACCAAATCATATAGCAAACTAAAATTAAACTCGCAAAATTTTGCCAGTTAAATTTGTGAGCAAAATTGTCCATTTCAAAATTTAGTTTAACAAACAACGTGTAAACAACAATTATATTTTAAATATACGCTCTCCTTTTCGCAATGTTTATGTTTTTTTGGATAAATAAGGAATTACATTTATCATTAACTGTGTGCTTTATATATATATATATATATATATATATATATATATATATATATATATATATATATATATATATATATATATATATATATATATATATATATATATATATATACACATATGTATATACACAGATTTGTAATACCAAAACTAAATATACATCAGATCATTACTTTAGTTGAAAAGAGTTTGGAGTAAAATGTAAAACTTAAAACTTTTTGAACACTCATATGTTTATATTTACTTCATAAAACAACAAGTCCAAGTCATAGTTATCTAACTAAGCACAATTAAATACTAGTTTGCAACTAATTCTTTTCAATGAGGTTTACCATATCTTTTTTACTAGAATTATTTGACATAAGTTCTCTGCTAGCTATTTGACCTTAAATGTAAGTATTTCTTCTGGCCTGACCAAAGACATGACAAGCACTTTCGGTTGTCATTTTTACACATCTTTCAACAGATTGTGTATGAGAGGGCCACTTTGTTACTTTCATTGGAGTGTTAATAAATTCCTTCACTGCTTCAGTTGATAGATTACATGTTAAAGGTGGTTCAGTAATATCACTCTAGTCTATAAGTTCAGACAAGCAAGTTGCTTTCATGATGATGGAAGGAGTCTTTCGAATCCTAAAAGATCTATCTCCAAATTGAAGTGCATCATTCCCAGCTCCTCTTAATTCAACTATTTTATTAACTGCTTCTTTTCTCTCATCTTCAATTTGACTACAGAGCATACTTTGCAAAACTGATTCAGGGTGAGCATACCATGCTGATCGTTTGAAAGTGGGTAAAACAATGTCAATTACCTCCTGAGTTTGATTTTTTAATAATTGCATCTGTTTAAGTAAGTTTATTGGTCCTTCCACCCAGCATGAATTTACTTTGATGTTAAACCAGTTAGGAACATACACACCTACTATGTACTCAACAATCATTCTCAACCTATTTAAAAGGTCACCTGTTAATCCATGTTTAGACAACCAGATTCTGCAAAATCTTAAAGCAGTAGTTAGCCATCTACTATGACAAACAGGACCAATTTCTAGTAATGCCAGTCTCTTAGGCAGAACTCCAGTTTTAAGAGATGTCACAATTTGGTATGCATAGCTCTGATCGGTGCTTAGATCTTTGATAATGTCAGGACTGAGGTAGATAAGTGGAGAGCCTTCACACACTTTTGAAAATTCTGGGTTAATTTCAAGGTTGGTAGCATCGTTCAACATCTTACCCAGAGGTCCTGACCAATGATTGCTGGCTTTAGTAGGACCATCAAGAAACTTAATAAGACTTCTTTACCCTAGTTCCCCAGTGTGCAGGTCACATACAATCCATACAAGTTTTTTATTAAGTTTTTTTTCAACCCATTGTATTACTCCTCCTGCCCATCCAGTATTTACATTAGTACTATCACAACCTATGGCTTCCAATGTCAAATGCAAACATCTTTCTTTAAGCCATTTAATTAAATGATCGACAATTATCTCAGCAGGTCTTTTAAAATCAGATTCTTCAGGAACAAAATGGAATAGATAATTTCCACCAGGTTCACTGCACACAGTATAATGTTCTTCTTTTATTAGACCTGGGAATTTTCTGCCTTCAACATCAAAAAAAATTTTAGTGTCATCTTTTCTACCATTAAAAAAAATACAACGCAAACCATTATTGTTTAGTTCCTTATGGAATTTTGAGGTCAGTTCTTTTCCAATTTTTTCTTGAGCTTGTTTAACTTTGTTATAGTCGATAATTAAGCAAGTGTTTTCTTCAGTGATAATTTTAGCATCAATAAGGGCAGCAGTGGCTATTTCCGCAGTTTCTCTTAAACCTGTATGATGCCTTAAGCTTGCTAATGCTATATTTTTTATATTCATGGTGTTATACAATTGATTTTTTTCTTTTACTTTTTTTGAAATATTCATTTTTATTTTATCATTTGTCTCTTCACAGACTTCATCTGAGTCACTCTCGGGAAAGAAAAAATCATTTTCTTGATTTACAATCTCCTGGTCTAGTTTTGATTTTTTTATTTGTGAAACCTGATTTTGTATTGTATGTCGTTTAATTTTTTTACTTTGTTTATGAGTTTCAATACGATCAATGCCAGCTATTTGAAGGATAGCTTTGGTTCCAACTTTTTCTCTTTGATGTCTTACAAAGTTCAACTCAAGAAGAGGAATTTTTTGTTCTTTTTTACAAGTACATACAATGTGAGCTTTTCTGTCACAATTTTCTCCACACTTATTTTCTAAGCAAAAAAATATTTTACAACTGCATGTAAACAAATAAAAAAGTTTATCAAGTTTTTCCATAAATTTATTTGTAATTGGTGTGGCTACATTGCCATTACTAACTTTAACAGCCAATAACCACAAGTCTTTTACTTTACTTTTAATTCTTCTTTCAGAATTAATAACTGGACTTACAAATTGAGAATTGGCTTTTTTCCACTGTAACAAAATTTTTGGAAGAATATCCTTTACAAGCTGATCAACAGTATAGTTTCTGTAATCTTTTTCACTAATCTCTCTTAAATATAAGCCGTATTTGAGAATATCTCTGGAAGTTGGGAGTTCTGATGGAAGAAACTCTGAACTTTTTCCAATTAAGTTACTAAGCTGACAAGTTGAATTACTTCTTGTTTTAGTGGTATATGACATCTTTATATCAATTTAAAAAAAAAAGGATTCTAAAAATTGTTTATGCTCTTTATTTTATTTTACTTCAACTACTAATATAAGAATAAGTCAGATGCGTATTACTAATATAGTATATATATATATATATATATATATATATATATATATATATATATATATATATATATATATATATATATATATATATATATATATATATATATATATACATCCATGCATACATTTATATAGATAAGGTTTTTGAAAGGCATTAAAATTTAATAACAAAGCATTATAAATTGTAGATTTTTCAACTTGTAAAACAAACGGTTAATAATAAAAAATTTTATTACATCCAAAAAAGTGTCAACACTGCAAAAAGGAGAGTGTATTTTTAAAATATAATTGTTGTTTACACGTTGTTTGTTAAACTAAATTTTGAAATGGATTATTTTTTGCACAGAGTTAAATTTTAGTTTGCTATATGGTTTGGTAAATATGCGATCTTCTTCGGAGATTACGGCAAACTTCAGTTTTTAGAATGAAAAACTAAGTCCAAAAAAATAAAAGTTTGAGAGTGAAAAAAAGTAGCTTAAAATACTTTTTTTTTCAAAAAAAATTATTTTCATGTTTTTCATACTGATTTACAAAAAAAAAATACTAGCCATCATCAAATTTTCAAAAAAATTGAAAATCGACACACCCTAATGTTTATATTGAAGAAATTTTTTTTTTTGCAACTTTTTCAAAAAAAATGTTTATACAATTTTAAAATATTATACTTTTTAAAGTAATTTATTTTAACTGCAATTAAAAACGTAACAAAAAGTAAATTTCACCTCGAGTTTCAGTTTTTTGAGTTTTATTTTAAAACTTGTATATATTCATTTTCATGAGAAATTGTTATTTTGTTTTTTTAATTTTATTCATAGTTTTCAGACTTAATTCTAAGCTAAACTATTAAGCTTAGCATTTCTTTTTTCAGTGCATTTCTGAAATAATTAAATCATCAAAACATCTTAACAGTCGCGGTCAAATTGTCAACAAAAAAATAACTTGCATGGTCAGCAATAGCTTTCGATCGCATGCCATATATATATATATATATATATATATATATATATATATATATATATATATATATATATATATATATATATATATATATATATTATATATATATTATATATATATATTATATGTATATATATATATATATATATATATATATATATATATATATATATATACACATATATATATATATATATATATATATATATATATATATATATATATATATATATATATATATATATATATATATATATATATATATATATATATATATATATATATATACTATATATATATATATATATATTCAGTACAAACATGTGGAAATGGGAAATAAATGGTCTACCCTTTTCTATACTTTTTTATCCCATTTTAAAACTTATTTTTTATATAGTCATTTTATTTCAATAATTATTGGTAAGCAGTTAAAAATAAAAATATTTGCTTTGAGTTAATGATTAATGTTCAATACTTTATGTTGTAAAATTGAATTCTATAACAAAAACTGGGACAGGCTTATTAATTTTTTTTATATAAGGTTTCTATATAATGTTTTTATTAAATTTTTTTCTCACTCACATTAACAAATTTTTGAAGAAAATAAATGTTTCATTGTAAAACGTTTTTTCCATTAAAAAAGAAATTTGTCTTTTTAATGTGTGTTAAACGTGCAGACTAATTACTTATACACCTTAAAAACATAATGACATTTATTTATAATAAATTTTTCCAGATGTTTTGATGTTTTTAAAAAGCCTTTTTAAAAATTCTCTCTCTTTCGTTTGTTATGATATATTATATCTTTATAAATGTTATGTATATACAGGGTTGGCAAAAACCCGGTTTTTTTTAAAAAAACCCACCCCAGTGGGTTTTTTTGGGTAATTTTGGGTTTTATTGGGTAAATTTGGGTTTTTTTGGGTTTTATTTTTATTTCGTCTCTAAAAAATTTTTTTGTTTTTTTGTGTAATGATATTGAAAATTAGTTTCATATTCTACTTTAACTTTATTTAAAATATATTTTATATATTGTTATTTAATAATTTATAACAAGAACTTTTCAAATTATTTTGAAAAAGATTTTTAATTATAAAACTGTAAGAAAAAAAAATTTTCACATTAAATCTATATGTATTGATTTATTTTAAATTTAAAGTATTAATCTATATAATTAAAAATATCAATGAGAAATGGGAAAAAGAAGGCTAGAGAATGGGAGGTAGTAACTGAAGTTTCAATTAAACTTTGAACTTGAAATTCAAATGAACAAACTTGTTTCTCCACACAGCGGCCTTGTTTATAAAGATTTGTGTTTAGGAGTTTAGGAGTTGAGAGAGAGAGTTGAAACCACAATAACGTAGCCTCCTCGACTGTAGTGGGCTTCTCTGGCCACTACTACTCATTCACCTTAGGAGGTGAATAACATAAAAGATTAAAAAATCTCAATCGATAAAGATATTTGCATAAAAATTGTAATAATGTATTTCCAAATAATGATTCAAATATTAGTAAACCTGCTCTGATAGCTGTTATTGTTGGTTATAATAGTTAATAATAATAGTTAATAATAATTTAGTTAATAATAATAGTTAATAATTATTTTAGTTAAAAATATTATAGTTATAATGTTAAAGTTGGTTAAAATAGTTCATAAACTTATTAAGTATCTTAAAAAAACCCAATAAAACCCAGATTTCCCAGGGGTTTATTGGGTTTTTTTAGGGGGGTTTTATTGGGTTTTATTGGGCGGGTTTTTTTGGGCGGGTTTTTTAATGCCAACCCTGTGTATATAATGTCTATAAAACTTTAAAAATGTTTAACTTTGTAATTTAGAAAATCAGAAAAGCTTTAAAATAAAAATAAATATGTAAGCGTAATGATTTGAAACCCCACGATGAACTTCAGAAGCACAGCAAGCTAACCACTTTGGCCACTAAAACATACTATACTAAAAAATAATTTATTTTTTAACAAATATTTATAAAATGGCAAATAAATGCTATAAAACAATATTAGGAAAATATTGTTGCATAGCAATTTTTAAGTAAAAGTATAACTGTAAAATTGAAAAAATTTGTAACATTACATAATTTAATGATTACATAAGTTAGATATTTGCATAGACTTTCATTCACATTTTCTTATTTAAAAAATGCGGTGACACTTTCTTGCCATAAACTTGGCTTTAATGGCTGCCATGAGTTCTGTGCAAACACACATGAATGAGTAACGACAGCAGCAACAGCATTAAGTTCAATAATAATATATTATAGGATGACAAAAATAATTTAAATCTTACATTGAAATGTAAGATTTAAAATCTTAATTTCAAAATTAAAAATTTAGATTAAAATATTCAAAAAATTTCAAAATCATTAAAAAAAAAAAAAAAAAAAAAAAAAAAAAAATTTAAATAATTTATGCTAAATTATTATTTATTAGATTTTTAACTTTTTTCTTTTAAATATTTAAAAAACCATTTATATATATATTATTATTAAATTTTTGATTTGATTTTTTTAATTTTTATTATGAATATTAAACTTATATACCTTTATTCTTTTTAATTAACAACTATTTACAACTAATACGTTGCAAAAAGAGAATCAACTACATATTTTAAATATTTTAATCAAGTAAAATAATTAAAATATGTAAAAAAGCTATTTTTTGTACAGCTGTATGATATGTGTTGAATAAATAAACATTGTGCATTTTGTATTGAACATTTAGGCGCGTACAACTTGTTTACTCAAAAATATGTTTAAACTAACAAAAATATTTTAAAAATCATTATAAAAGTTCATTATAAGTCCATTATAAAATACATAAAATATCTTTTGCATAGTATTATAGTTTTAATTTTGTTTTGTATTGAAAATCTTCAAGTCTTTTTTTAATTATCACAACATTAGAGATATTGAGCAAAAATGCCGAGTTTTTTCCATAAAACCTGCAGGTGTAAATTTCAAAAAAATTTGAAATAGTCAACCTGGAAAATTAAAAAAATTTGGCTTATATGAATGACCAACCAGATATTTTTGGATTAGTTTTTTTTTTTTAATTTCGTCTTTAGCTCTAACTCTTTTAAAACTTCTTATTTGCTGATGATGAGCATTTAAGTCATTTGCATTCAGTATTTTTTTTTTGTTCTGCATTATGCTGTCAATAAGTTGATAAGTTTTAAAATTTTTATAAGAAACTTTAGCCATTTAAAAGGTTAAAAAATAAAAATTCTGCTTGCGCATATATACCAACCTGTTTCTCCACCTATTATCAAAGCATCGTAACTTTTCCTTTTCTTGTTTAATTTGCAATACTTAAAAATTGCAAATGTTCTTTTGTTATTTTCTTGAAATATAAATATTACAAAAATATCTTTAATAAACTTTTATGTGCCTATGTCAATACTTGTTTATTTAAGGTTTACAATAACATAACGAATTGAAATAAAGATAACATAACAAATAGCAAAAACCAATTTTGTAATGTTGCCAGGTAAAAAAAACTATTCTTAACGAAAGAACAAAAATTGTTCTTTTTTTAGTTTAATTTGTCTACTGGTAAAATATAGTTCTAATTAAATAAACATTCACAATATGAAAATTTACTTTACCAGTTAGTAGTTTAACTGTTTTGCTAGAATACTTATTACGCTGGAAATAAAATGTTGATGAAGCTAAAAAACTTATATCTAAATGATATACATGTGTGAAGATGTGGAACTAAATGTGTGCAACAAATAATTTACTGCATTGTTTAATTCATATATAAGTTTTCCATAAACAACAACAAGTAAAAATATACCATTGATAAATGTTTGATGAAGGCAACATCTGAGATAGCTGCTTTTGAACAACTTCGCTGATAAAGAAACTTAAATTGTACAGGACCCTGAAATAAAAGTGTGTGTATATACACATATATATGTATATAAACATCCAATATATATATATATATATATATATATATATATATATATATATATATATATATATATATATATATATATATATATATATATATATATATATATATATATATATATATATATATATATATATATATATATATATTGTTGTGAAACTGTAATAAATAAGTCTATATTAAATATTTTCGGCTTTTATCAAATATTAAATCAAACACACTTCAAGATCTACAAAACAGATTTTATAACACATCAATTAAATATAATTAGAATAACTTAAGTTCATTCAACCGTATTCTATAATGACGTGATTGGCGTCAAATAGTTCTTAAGAATATAACAGTCTTCTCCGTTTTAAGAAAGTTTTAGTACGGCTTACTCTTGAATAATACTCTAAGAAAGAAAGTAGTCGTCGAGATACTTTGGCCTTTTAATAGTACGTCCTGTTCGTGAGATTATATTAGGTTGTGTGTCAGGAGTAATAACCTTTTGAATAGATGGTTGGTTAGGTACTGTTGTAGTTGATTGATCATAAGAGAAGCTATCTTTTATTGGATTCCCAAACGGATGCAGTAGGTTCGATACTACTTCGTTGGTATCATTTAATTCAACTTGTTTTCTATTTTCAGAATTGTGGTTGTTGTTACTAATTACAATTTTGTTGTTGTTCGAGCATTCGGGGTGTTGTAAGACTGGTTCTATTAAGGGATTTCTATCTTGTAGTGGAGCAAGATCTTTTGTTGAAACTGTATCAATTTTTCCATTTTGAAGTTTCACGCGTGCGAAATGAGGTGATATTGTTTCTAATAGTTGAACTCTGTCGACAAGTGGATCTCCCTTTAATCGTATCTGACGTCTGTATAAAACTGTCGAATCCTGCTCTGTTAAGAAGTTTGGTAGAACTGTACCTATTATTGATGAACGCTGAAAGTTCATCATCCTCTGATGAGGTGTCTCGTTCGTAGCAGTACACAGAAGTCCTCTTATAGAGGATAGAGCCATTTGCAATGCTACCTCCCATCTATCTTTTCCCAGACTCAATGTTTTTAGGGCCAGACTAATAGCTTTAAGTATTGTTCCATTCATTCTTTCACATTGACCGTTGCCTTGTGGGTGATATGGAGTAGTTCGAGTTCAGATGACACCGTTTCTTTCTAGGAAATCCTTAAGTGATATACTTTCAAACTGTGTTCCTCGATCTGTATGCATAGATGATGGTGCATTAGCTGTTATATCCTTACAAGGGAATGCAAATGGGTAGCGAGAGTATTCGTCTACTATCACGAGGATGTATTTATTAGCTGAGGTGGATTGTAAAGGTCCAACAAAATCCATAGATAAGCGTTCCCAAGGTCTCGTAGCCTGAATAAGACGACCAGCTGGAGGTTTGTAGAAGCGCGGTTTGAGTTCATTACAGGTGGTACATTGGCTTGTTAGTTGTTTAATTTCAGTGGTAGAGTAAGGTAGATTTCGGGTTTTGCAATAGTGTATCATTTTTTTAATTCCAGGATGACATAGTTGGGAGTGAATATTGTAAAAGGTTTTATTCGTGTTTTGAATTGAGCAACATCGAGAAAGGGCATCGGCTACGATATTTTGATTTCCTGGTCTGTATGAAATTGTATAATTAATATCTGCTAATTCTAAACGCCATCGAGTCAGTTTTTCGTTTTTAATTTTTGTTGAAATCGTTTTATTGAAAATAAGAGAAATGGATCTTTGGTCTGTAATTATAATGATGTATGGTACTGAATTAATTAGGTGTTTCCATCTTCTACAGCATTCTACAATAGCAGCTGCTTCTTTCTCGACAATTGCGTGTTTTCTTTCAGCGTTTGATAGTGTTCTTGAGAAGAAGGCCACGGGTCTGCCTAGTTGAAGTAACGTTCCTCCCAGTGCTGTGTCAGAGGCATCTGTTTCAATAGTTAGTGGAACTTTGAAATTCGGGGAGGCTAGACAAGCTTCTGCAAGTTTAATTTTGAGCTTTTTAATTGCTTCTTTTGCCTTTGGGGTCAAGCCCTTTGTTGGAAAGTTGTCTCTTGCTTGAGTAAGCGGTAGAGTAAACTTGGTACAGTTATGTATCCATTTAGCGTAGTAGGCGAATAAACCTATCATTCGATTTAATTCTTTTAAGGTTTTTGGTTCTGGCATATTTATAAGAGCTTCATATCTTTTAGGGTCGGGTTTTAAGGTTCCATTTTCGATGATATGGCCTAAGAATTCGATATGAGTTTTTTTAAATTTGCTTTTTTCTTTGTTTATTTCTACGTTGGCAATTTGAGCAGCATGTAGGAAACGGCTAAGATTTTTATCGTGCTCTTGGTCATCTTTTCCACCAATAATTGTATCATCGAGGTACGCATATGTATTTTCTAGTTTATTATTTTGAATAAATTCATCCATAACCCGCTGAAAAATTGGTACAGCATTTGTGCAACCAAAAGGTAAACGTTTAAACTTGTATAGTCTGCCATTTGCTTCGAATGCGGTTAGCTTGTAATCTTCAGGTCGTATTTTTACCTGATGGTAAGCCGATTTGAGGTCAATTGTACTGAAGACTTTATGAGCAGCTATCTTAAGTATCAAATCGTCGATTCGAGGTGTTGGGTATGAATCGAGTGGAGTGTGTAGATTGATTGTATTTGAATAATCAATCACAAGACGGTTTTTGTTTCCTGATGATACTACAAAGCATTGTGCACGCCAAGGACTACGGCTCACTTGGATTATATCTTGCTTTAACATACGGTTTATCTCTTCTGTTATGAAGGAGTTATTTTTAGGAACCCGTCGTGATGTTGTAGCGACTGGCTTAATTTTGTCAATGTTCACTCCAGGTATCAATGCGTAAGTAGTACACTTCATACTCTTTGTTGCCAGACAGAACTTTAAGGGCTCTTTATTCCCTTTAAAATTGATCGTAATTGAGGTATGTTGTGTTAACACGTCCATTCCGATAATTACTGGTGCTACCAAGTTGTCTACAACGAGGAATTGCACTTTCAATTTTTCGCAAGCTAATAACAATGAGCCTTGGAAGATTCCTTTAACTTTTAATGTCGAATTATCTGCCAATGATACTTTTGAGGTAGATTGATTATCGTAAGGAAGGTTCCAATGTTGAAGAAGTTCTGATGTAATAAACGTTTTATCGGAGCCAGTATCTATCAGTGCCTGTGTTATATTTTTGTTAATGGTGACGTTAATTAGTCTATCAGGTGAGTTGATTGCTGCTATGACCGTAGATACTATTGCGTTATCGTTTTCTTCATGATATTCCTTAACAACTGCTGCTTTAGTGTAGGACTTATTTTGTTTCTTTGAGAGGCAGACAGTTGCCCAGTGGCCCCTTTTTTGACAATGTGTACAGATGGAATTTCTTGCTGGGCATTTAATTTTTGGATGTGAATCATTACCGCACCAGTAACAATGAGATTTCGTAAGGTTACGACTTGCGGCAAAAGTTGGTAGCGTAGTATTAGCTGTCGTGGTTGTTGTCAAATTAAGAGCATCTTTGGTGGCTAATTCCATTGTTAGCGCTGTTTTATAAAGAGCCTCGAGATTGTCTTCTGTAGCTTTGAGGAGTCGTTGTCGAATAGAAGGTGAGTAAATTCCAGCGACAAAAGCGTCGCAAATTAGTAAATTAATATGTTGTTCTGCTGTTAGAGGTTCTGTTGGACATTTTCTTGCGAATTGTTTCAGGCTACTCATGAAGCTTTCGACTGTTTCCCCTTCTTGTTGCTTAAAAGAGCGAAGTTTGTGGCGCATCATAATAGGTGTTGATCGTTTTTGATATTTGTTATCAAGTATTTTGACTGCATCATCAAATGATGTAGTATCCTGAATTATTGTGAAAGCTTTAACACCGGATAGTACGAATAAAACTTGGAGTTTGCAATCTTCGTCTATGTTAGCTTTATCTAAATAAATTGATAGCATTGTTTTCCAGTATATATACTCTTCTTCGTTTGGTTCGTCGCATAGTACTTTTTTAAATATTTTTGCATCCATAATATAAATAAAAAATATTTGATAAAATTGTTGTGAAACCGTAATAAATAAGTCTATATTAAATATTTTCGGCTTTTATTAAATATTAAATCAAACACACTTCAAGATCTACAAAACAGATTTTATAACACATCAATTAAATATAATTAGAATAACTTAAGTTTATTCAACCGTATTCTATAATGACGTGATTGGCGTCAAATAGTTCTTAAGAATATATATATATATACATATATATATACATATATATATATATATATATATATATATATATATATATATATATATATATATATATATATATATATATATATATATATACATATATATATATATATTTATTTACAGAGCATATTCTAGAAAAAATATTTGGGCAGCGGTACCCCCTCGTTCTGGCAAACTTTAGTGGAAAATCAACGTTTTGCAAAAAAATAATATTTGCCGTAAAAAATGTAAAAAATCATAGAAAAAAGGGCCTCAAATTTTAATTTGGGCGGTGCCCAAATTGGTACTTAATTACGGTCGACACTATCAAAAACGGTCTAGAATAGCCTTTGATATATATATATATATACATATATATATATATATATATATATATATATATATATATATATATATATATATATAATATATATGCATGTATACAAAGTATTAAGCAGGACTTTATCTTTTAAAGCATCTTTTGGATATTGTGAATATTTATTGTTATTGTTCTACAAAATAGTAGGAATTTTTATTGTCCTATTGCTTCAGAAAATAAATAAAAATTAATAAATAAATAAATAAATATATATAATATATATATATATATATATATATATATATATATATATATATATATATACACACACACTTATATTTATAGGCCTTGTTTTAAAATGTAAACTGGCACGCCATTTACGTTGGTGGTAAGCCTTTTTGGTCAAGCCACTTTTTATTATTTTTAACATTTAAACAAATCTAAAAGTAAGCGGTAAGATAAAAGAAGCAGTTAACATAATAAAAACCACTTGAGAAGTTTGAATGATAAAAAAGTTTGTATAAAAATTACGTTTGATATTCACACTATTTACAAATGTAATAAGATAAGAAAAAACAAAGAAAATTTTACTTTTATTACTCAACCTTTTCCTTCAAAAATGTTCAGCAGAAGAAAAAAAAAATTTGTTATATGGCGCTTAAAAAAAGAAATCATAAAAAAACTTTTATTTACCATCCTGTAAAAACAAGAATATTTATTTAGTTAATATCTCATAACAAACAATAACAAAAATAGTTATCAAATATTTTTAGAAAAATTAAAAACAAAAACAAAAAACTATTATCTAAAAATAGTTCACGTTAAATTTCATTTTATATTAGTGCCACTTTTGATATTTTAATCTTTTGTTTAATGATTGATTTTATCATTAAAAAAAATGAAAAAACATTATTTCAAACTTTAAATGACATCTTTTAATGAGTTTATTTTTTTTATAATTTTAAAAAAAAAACATCTTAACTGGATATAACTCTATAACTAATTTTTTTGCTTGAATTTACGCTTAAAGTAATATAACTCTTGCTATGTTAACACTCACAATATTACTCTTGCATTAACTATTATCAGAGTATTAACAGTGTCATGTTACGCATGGATGGTGTTCCTGTTAATGCTTTTGGTGCACATTGTTGAGGCCATATAAGGATATGTTATGACTAAGGGTTAATGTTATGACTAAGGGTTATGTTATGACTATGTTATGACTAAGGGTTAATTAACAGAACTGAGAAAATTGCATAGCTCATTGCTTAGGAGGTCGTGTTCTATCTATGAATAAGTCATGTTCTCTTTAAACATAAATCATGCCAAAAGTAACCCAAAATATTAAACATAAAAATTATTTCCACCACCTAATTGTTTTAATATATCTTTTTTTTAATATTTGTGGTCTGAAAAGCAACCTTCTATCAGTTAAATCTTACCTCTTGCAAAATTCACCTGACTTACTTCTTCATAGTGAGCCTAAAATAAATTATGCTATTCCTTTTTCTTGCTTATGGATACTATCTTTTAAATCTGCAAAGACCTCAATAATCATATGCTTGGCTTGGGGGTATACATATGCATCAATTCACCTATTTGTCATGAAATCAGATTTGAATCGTTTAACCATTCTTAGCATCTCTTCACTCTACCACCTTTCTTTTTATTCTTTATCATTCTCTTTCTTTTCAAGACTGTACTCTTTTAGATGCAATTTCCGAACAAATTAACCATGTCTCTCTCTTTACACCTCTGCCAATATTGTTGTAATTGGTGACTTTAATGCGCATCACACTGAATGGCTTGGCTCTAACGCCACTGACCCTGATAGCACTAAAGCCTATTACTTCTGCATTTTTTAATTTTTTACTCAGATAGCTAACTTAGAGACTTGTTATATTTTTTATATTAAATAAAATTATGTTTTTATGTTATCTTTGCTTTAAGCTTAAAAAATCTTTTATCTTGCCGCTTATAGTGTAATTTAAAAGTTAAAAAATGATAAAAAGTCGCTTACCCGAAATTGCTTACTATTTACATAAAATTGCTTAAGGGGTCGTCCATAATTTATGTGGGAGTTTTTTATAGATGGAGGAAGTGTTGGTTTAAAGGAGGAAGGGGGTATTGGTGGTTTTGTGAGGACTCATACAAAACTTGCTACTTAAGTGTTATGGTTTTGTGATGAGGGAGAGGGAGGTCAAAAACAGTCAAAAATTGCATGATGTAATTTATGGACGATCCCTTAGGCATACATAAATCACTCTACGCTTAATGCTTTAAAACAAGGCCTGTATTTTATATATATATATATATATATATATATATATATATATATATATATATATATATATATATATATATATATATATATATATAAATAGAAAGATAATCAAATTAAGTAATGAAATAATAAAAACCACACGGGATCAACTTCAGTAGTAAACTCTTTCCACTGGAACTGATAGTCGCTATGCATTTTTTGTATTCCGTTCACATAAAAAAACAACCCGTTTGTACAATAATTTACATGGTCAATATCGCATTCCCTTCCATCAACTCTATAAAGAAATGAAATTTTGTTGTTTCCAGGCAAACCAGAAAATTGCCTGTTAAGAACTAAGTATGATTGTTCGAAGCAGCGTATGTCAGTAGTGTTTTTAATGTCTCCAGATACCAAATATTCACCATTACCTAAAAAATAGTATAAATTATTCTTTTAAAAACTTATCAAAATCAATCAAAAATAAAACAAAAACAAACATTTTACTATTGTAAAGCTCCGTTTCTGTCAAATTTAATGCTAATTTGTCAGAAAAGTTTATCTTATGTGCTTATTAAACACTAATTGCTTAGCAACCTTGGTAACAAATGTTTAGTTAAGTTCTAAAATATCCAATTGCTTAGCAACCAAATGTTTAACTTTGCAATGTAATGCTTCAACTAAAATATATTTTTTAAATTCTTTTTTTTCTTCCCAAAAAACAAAGTAAAAGAATTTTACTTATAAATGTTTGGTACAGTACTTCAATTTTTTATTCTTTATATCGAAAAAAAAAAAAATTATTAAAATTTTTTATTCATTTAGACTTAATAAATCATAAATGGCAGGAAAAATAGGCAGCCCTCAGAATTAGGGTCAGCATTTGGAAATGCCAAAATAACTGCTGACCTAGAAGTGTTTGAGGTCGGCAAAAAATCGCCAACCTCATTTCAATATTTGTAATGTTGTAACCTTTATATCAAATTTTTTTTGCCAACCTAATGCCAAGGGGCCATCCATAAAGGACATCACCATTTTTGACCCCTCTCCCCCTTTGTCACCAGTTGTCCTTTTTCCCTATACCTCCTGGAAAAGGACGTCATAAAATCCTGACCCCCCTCCCTATTTTTAACTCCAAAAAAAATTATTTTATCTTGCAATGATGTTTGAATCTGCTGCTACACCTTTAAGAAATAAAATTAAAAATATTCTCATACATTATCTTCTCAAAAACACATGTTTACGTAGTTTTCCATGTTAATTAAACTAAAATAAAAAATCTATAAAGTGACGCCTTTTTCTGACGTGCCCCCTCCCCTTGTCCTTTTTTGTTATTTTTTAACTCGTCTCCCTCCCCTCCCCCCTATTTGGATGACATTCTTTATGGATGGCCCCCAACCTCTAAAAGATTAAGTAAGTCAAATTATTGCTGACCTCAATTTTTCTAATTCAAAGGACTGAGTAAGTGATAAAATCTTTACTGTCATTTGCTTAAAACCTTTTTACTCCTAATGTTTGTTCATTTTTGGAAATATTTGCACTATTAACTAATCACCTCTCTAGTAATAATAACCCATCACTTCTTTAGTACTAAAAACTCAATTACAAATAACTTGAGTTTAAAAATACTCAAAAAAACAAATCATTAAAAAATCTAATATTATATGATTTAACTGATATTCTCTTTATGTCTACATCTCTAATTGATTGTATATAACTGATGTCCTCTTTATGTCTACATCTCTAATTGATTGTATATAACTGATGTTCTCTTTATGTCTACATCTCTAATTGATTGTATATAACCAATATCTAAGTATAAGATAATTTTTAAAGTATATGACTTAAAAAGAAAAAAACTACACATAACAGTATTAACAGAAGAACAGTATAAGACAAAACAGAAAAGAAAAATCTTTGTTTGAAATTTCATAAATAATTTTAAGAAACTCTTCATTAATTAAAATTTTTTTTAAATTATACAAAAATAAATAATAAAAATATAAAAGTAAAATATAGATTTAAAAAACCTCCAGCTCCCCATGATTCACACTGTTTTTTTGATAAAAAATCACTGCAGTAAGAGTAAGCCCTATAAGTTAAGCCAAGTTTTCCAGAACTGTCACTCCAGTTTGTAAAATCTGATAGAATCTCTCCGCCATGATTAAATTGTCCTGGTTTACACTTCACACAAGTAATGTTAACTACAGCATTGCTTGTTTGTCCATAACCTGCATCACAATTGCAAAGCAAGTCATTGATAGGTTTAGGAGGAGTAATACTGTCACTATGCTTCAAATCACTGTAAAAAAAAACAACATATAATATTAACTATTTTAAAACATGAACAAACAATACAAAACAAACAATGGTGTTAGTGCAGTAGTTCGATTACTCATTATCTGAGAGCCCACCATGTCACCTGTTAGTGCAGCCTTAAATTACTTTTTTTACTTGCATGTCTTCACATGCAAGTAAAAAAACTCATTCATTCATTCATTCACTTGCATCTTCACATGAAGAGTTAAAACTATAAGAGGAATAAAAATACCGCAAAACTTTTAAAATGACTTTTTGAAATGCATGTGAAAGAAAATATAACTAATTAAAACATAGAAATAAAAAAATTAAAGCCAGAAATCAGATAACGTTTAAACTTACATGATCAAAAAGAGTTTGAAAAAAAAAGAAAAATTAATACAAATAAAGCATTAATATTAAAATTCATTCATGCATGAAAAAAGCAAAAATAATCATTTGAAGAGATTATTAATTATTTGAAGAAATTATTAATAGCACAGGTCATAATAATTTAATATCTTTTATATGAAATATCTGATTTTCTTCTCTGTTTTTGTTTAACTTTATATTTCAAATATACAGACACTAAATATCAGACAAAAAGTGGAACTAAATCTATTTTATTAACAAATATTTTTGTTCTTTATTGACTACATATGCCGTTAGTTACATTTTCATATTCAGAATGGTTCTACCATTATACAGATACTGCAGGTTCCCACTTATATCTCTTGCATTTAAAGAACAATAGATGAATGCAATTTTTGACTTTAAACATTATAAGCATCTTTTTTTTTTAAGTTTTTTTACCATAAAACTTATAATAACATCGTCTGTGAACAAAATAGCATCCAATTAAATCAAATCAAAGGATCTCAATTGTTGGTTTTGTGACTAGCACATAAATGATACCAGATACAAATTTACCCTCATTTTAGATAAAACCAAAGATTCATCTTCATGTAGACTTATGCCTATTCCTAAGCCTATTTTTCCCTATTTCTGACTTTGAGCAATTAAGAAATATAGCAAAAAAATCTTAAAATCATGATTAGACATCATTTTTAGTTAACTACATCAATAAAATGTTTATAAATAATTTTTAAAGGTGACTAAACAGCACTAATTTAAGTTGTATTCTATTGACCCACATTCCCCTGTCCCCCCCCCCTTTTTTTTTTTTGTTAATTATCTCCCAAGGCCAAGAAGGCCAATACAGGCCACTACAAATAATTTAAAACCCATTGCTTTTAATATGTTGTTGTTACAGGAGCCTGAAAACTATTGATATTTTAAAAGTATTTTAAAGTATCGTATTGTAATTAAATTTAATTTTAAACTGCATTAAAAATTATTTAAACTAATTTTAAAAAAATTAGTAATAGAATCTAAATTAGGTAAATAAAAAAAGATTATAATTCCTTATAATTTGATTTCTAAAACAATCTTATACTTAAGATAATCTTTTGTTTGTTTATCACAATTAATTTATTTGAATTTTTTTGAACTTAATATAGTATTTTTAATAAAAATTATAAAATATTTATAGGTAGATTTTATCAGTAACTAATAAGATATTTGGAAACGTAATTTATATTTATAAACGTGTTACATCAAAAGTACTTTACATATTATTGAATGTATATATATATATATATATATATATATATATATATATATATATATATATATATATATATATATATATATATATATATATATATATATATATATATTATATATATATATATATATTATATATAAGTTTTTATGTATATATAAAGTTTTTAATTTCAATTAAAATATTCTATCAAATACTTAAAATTATTAGCTGTATTTTAAATGGAAATGTTATTTTCTTAAAAAATACATACAGTATAAATATAGACTGTTATATATTATTTTTAGATATTATTGCTTGAAAACTAGTTGAATTTTCTTTGAGAACTTGTTGAATTTTCTTATTAAAATGCACTTGACTCAGTCAATGAATATATTATATTTTTTATAAGATTTAGCAATTAAAACCTAATTAAGGTTTAATTGTTAAATATTTGTTTTAACAATATTTTATACTAACAATATAAAAGATAGAGCTATTCTTCCAAGTAAAATGGACGAGAAAGTGTGCCATTTATAATTTATATTGGTAGTACCTACCATTCTTCGTTCATATAATAAACAGCTTTCCGTTTCTTTTCAGTTATATTACACGGTAGAATTATTCGTTCAAAGTTACTAAAGGTACACGGTTTTAAAGAACTTGGACTTGCTTCATTAGTAAACAAGATAAAACAAATAAACAAGAGAATAATACAACAGTAAGCAAGAATAGCCATCTTTCAGATTAGGATTGGCATCGGACAATAATAACGAAATGACACGAAAACGCTCCGCTCGGGGATTTCTCGATTTTAAAAAAAATCGTTTATAAGGACTTTAATGCGAGCATTATTAAATGTTATCATGACTACGCTCGGTTACGTGAAATAAAATTTTATTTCACGTAATTAGAATTTCAACGTAGAGTTAAATTATTAGTTTTATGCCCTTTGTATTTTTTACCTGTAATTTTTGGTGATGAAAAGAAAAATAAATAAATAAAGAATTCTTTTCATCACCAAAAAAAAAAAAAATAAATAAAGATTTCTTTTCATCACCAAAAATTACAGGTAAAAAATACAAAGGGCATAAAACTAATAATTTAACTCTACGTTGAAATTCTAATTTAGATTCTTCTTGAAATGCTCTCTTCCATCAAATTTTTGAATATCATTCTTTGTTCTCTGTTGTTCCAGAATTCAAAAGACTGGGTTAAATTTTCCGCTATATTATCTTCTACGTCATCGTTACAACGTTTGATAATGATTTTTCCCTCTTAATCAAACACTGAATAAAGCTAAGCTCCAGGCGGTTGCAAATTTTCATTACTTCGTTGATAAAGCAGTTATCCTTATTACCATCAGACATATTTTTATCAAGGAAAAACAAGGCGGATTGCTTAAAATCAAGGAAAAACAAGTCGGATTGCTCAGTAATCCGATAAACAGATTCAACTTGTTTTGAACAAGGATAGTAGATACGTCATCAATTTTAAAGTAGGAAAGTAGATAGTTTTTGATGTATTTTGAAACACGAAAGAGAAATTTTAATGCTGATATTCTAACAGCGTCTAATTTATTAAGAAAATTATTTTTATAATCACAAGTTTCTAATCCGTATGATAGATTTGGTATAGCCAGAGATTTAAAAAAAATCCACTATAGTTAATGGTTGACAAAAACGAATTCCAGATTTTCTAAGAGCTCTGGAGATTGATTGAAATTGAATAATTTTTTCGTTTACATTTGCTGATTGGATTGTAGCTATATTTTGTACATGGCCTTGATTTTCCCATAGGAATCCAAGGTGTTTCAGTTTATTATTGAGTTTCAGGGGAAAACTGTTAATTTGCATTATGCTTTTTGTAACTAAACTTTTACCGGAGATGATGAACTTGGTTTTTTCTGTGTTTAATTTGATATAAAGACTTTGACATTGCGTTTGAACTTTATTGTTCGACTCTTGTAGCCCAGAAAGAGTAGGACTTTGCAGGATTATATCATCTGCATAAGCAATAATACCAGTGTATAAACCCATTACTGTTGTTCTAACTTTACAATTTGACTTAATATACTTTCGGTGTAGATGTTGTATGAATGTGGCGATAAAATGGATCCTTGTCACACACCTTGAGACAATCGGAAATTATTTGATTTTTGTCCAAGGTATGATATATTAGCTGTACCCAAACGGTATAATGATTGTTGTGCGCGAACTACTGATAGCGGTAAATTTTTGTTGTAATAAAGTTTCTCAAACAGAAAGTCCTAGTTACAACTATCAAAGGCCTTATTTGCGTCTAAACTACAGATATATACTGGCGAGTTATTATATTGTTTTAATGTCTCACTCAATAGGAACTTTGCTAGTAGAAATGAGCTATTTTGCTTGAAACCAAATTGATGAGAGTGGCTGTCTGATATTTCCGGACATACTTGCATGATAATATATTCAAAGAGTTTTGTCAAGATATGTGTGATACTATTACCGCAATAGTTATCTAAATTTTTAAGAGATTTTTTATAGGATTTTACTATAGGAGTAAATATGGAAGTTGATAAGGTCTCCGGCACAGCTCCATTATTAAAGATACTGTTATAAAACTTTAAAAGCCATGTAAGGAGGTTGTTGTTAGAAGAGTATTTGAGATGTTCTGCAGTAATTCCTCAAGAGTCACGTGATCTATTAGATTTTAGTTTACAAATACAAGATTCAATGTCGGAAGTTGGTAAGAGTATATTTATTAGGTTCAACTGTAAGTCGGGGAATATTGCGGTGTTCGGAGTTGTTGTTAGTAATTGTGGGACTGTTGAGAATCGTATTAAAGTTTTGTCGAAACTCTTATACAATTTCCTTTCTATCTTGTTTCTTATTTATCGTAAAAATACGAGTGTTTGGACTTGATTTAATTTTTCGGATATTGTTCCAAAACCTTTGAGAATTAGTTTTTCGAAGATATTCAATGTTTTTGGTAATTCTATTGGTTTTTAGACTATGAGCTGCTTTTACAGTTTTAAGGAAATTTTTACGAGCTAACTTGTAATTATTAATTGAAATGGATTTCTGTGATCTGTTATAGTTATATTTTTTCCATTTATACTTTTTTAACTTAATAGTTTTACATAAGTCTTGTTTGATTTCTTTAAAGTGATTAAAACATTAGACTAAATCATTTAAAAAAACTATTAGAAAAAAAAGTGAAGCTTTGAATCATTACCAGCAAGATAAAACAACCAAAGTTTAAGATATGAAGTTCAAGAAGGTTAAGATATAAAGGATTACTATTTTTTTTAACTTAACTTTAACTGGTAACAATTAGCTCCTCAGGTAGATTCAAAGGACCCCATGCTGGTGCAGCTTTGAACATTTTTATGTATGTTAAAAACGTAAGAATACTGAATAAAATATAGATTTGTAAAAAAAAGTTTAAAAAATGTTCAAAGCTTCCCCCTTCACCCCTGACAATAACAATGTTTACACCACTTAAACTGGAAAGAATGTCTCTGCATAATTTAATTTCTGGTGTTCACCATGATTTAGAGTAAATGCAAAATTTCCTTATTTTTGAAAATATTCTTCCATTGCTAAAGTTTTTCTATTAATTTTCCAATAAAAGAATAATCTTTGAAGAACTGAGAAAGGTTTCGATTATAAATTTCAATAAAGTTGTCATCCTTTCATGCATAATTTGGGATTGTATTGTATTTCAAGGATCAGGGTAAAGGGACTCAGAAATTAATATTAGGGCCTATTCTCTTTCTTATTTACATCAACGATCTCCGTGAAGCCTCAAATTTAATGACAATTATGTTTGCAGATGAAGCGAACTTATTTTTATCTCATAATGATATTACATTGTTATTTCAGAGTATCAATAATGAACTAGTAAGAGTTTCTGATTTGTTTAAGACAAATAAACTGTCTCTTAATAATGATAAAACGAAATGGATTTTTTTCCATTCAAATCACAAGAAAGTCTTATACTAAATGACATGCCACCGTTTTTTATTGATAACATACTTCTAAAAAAAGTAACAGATACCAACTTTCTTGGTATTTATATTGATAAAATTTGTCAGGGAGAAGTCAAACAAAAAATTTGAGTTGTAAAATATGTGAACATTGCGTGGGGTAGTACTAATAATAGTAAACTGGAACCTCTTTATCGTCAACAAAAAGATGTTGCAAGCCTTATTAATTTTAAGGATCGATTTACTCATGGCAAGCCTCTATTAATTGAAATGAAAGTTTTAAATATATATGAGCCTAATATTTTTAACGTTATATGCTGTATGTTTAAATATAAAAACAATATTTATCCTGTACCTTTTCATAGTTTGTATAATAAAAAAGAAAAAACTAAATACTTTTTACGAAATGATAACGACATTCGTCAATCAGCTTATTAAAATAATTCTGGAAGATACTGTATTTCATTTCGAGGAGCATTACTTTGGAATAAAATAATTTTAAATAATTTTGACTTTTCTCAAGAGGTTAGCTATCACTCTTTCAAACAAAAACTTAAAAAAGTCACTTTTTTATAAGATGATATATCTATATTCTTTTTTTTTAACTTTATATTAAACACTGCATTAATAAAATTTATAAGTTAACAGTATAAAGCATCTATGTATTAATAACAGAACCTTTTTTCTTTTTTTCTTTAAATTTGTTTATGTTTTCAATTCTTAATTCTTAATTATTTTTATCTTCAAGTATATTAAGTATATGAAGTTTATTTATTTATTTATTTGGAGAATATTTTATTAATACAAAATGTTAACACGTAAACTTTTTAGCGGTTCTCGACGACTAGACCTTACGGTCTTCTACGAGTTCACGCGTTCTTTTATTTCTTAATAACGATCATGTATATATATACATTGCTAACGAATATTTATTAAATCACAAAGTTGTAAAATTAAAAAACGAAAGAAATAAAAAAAAAATTAAAAAACTTTTTAAGTATATTATTTATAACTGGAGTTATATTGTTTATAATTGGAATTATATCGGGAAGCTGAATAAGCGCGAATTTCAAAAGTGCGAACTGGCATAAGTGCGATGCGTTTCAAAAACTGGCATAAGTGCGAACTGACGTGTATACCAAATGGCATAAGAATTGCAAACATTTGCATAAGAATTGCAAACATTGGCATAAGAATTGCGAATCGGCATTGGCAGAAGTGCGAATCGGCAGAAATGCGTCGAAAAAATATGTAAACAATGGCATAAGTGCAAATTGGTAATTCGCACTTACGCCAAATCGCACTTATGCCTGGTCGCACTTATGCAATGTTTGCAAATTTATTCGGCGCACTTATGCCAATTTGCATTTATGCCGATGCGCACTTAAGCCAGTTTCTGTAACTGCTTCGCACTTATGCGACTTAAATATAATAACTTGATAGCTGAAACTAGCAGTATGAGTGTTTAGTCTGCAACAGTCACATGGACTCAAAGTTCTTTATACCCAAACGTGTCTTAAATGCAATTTATAGTTTGTTTACAACAACTATTGATTATATGTTTGCATCAACAACATTCCATTGGTAGCAAAGTCAGTTTTTTTGCGGCGAGGGCTGAAGGTGTAGAAACATGTATAAAATTATCATTACATAGACAATAGTTACAAAAGTTTGCATTAACTAAAAAAAATGATATCTGTCAAAAAAGAAGATTCGTTTACAGAGTATATTGAAACACCACATCATTAATAAAGAAAACGGCCTAATTGTTAATAAGATGTTTGAAGATGATGAATGAGATGATCATGCTAACAAGGGGTGTTGCATG